ATTACAGTGGTAGAGATCCAAACAAGGTTGCAAATATTTTTCTTTTTTCCCTTTAAAGGTTGGTGTACTTTTTGTTGTTTATTTGTTGCATGATGTACTGTTTTGGTGCATATAGTTGTTTCTAACTGTTCTTATTTTTGTGGCAGTAAATATTTATGTACCATACACATCTCTGTATGATTCTCATTTTGGAACGTGGCACGTGCTTTTGTTTGTGGGAGTGATCATTCTAATATCTTCAACTTGGCCGTCTCAATGCTGATAGGTAAAAACTCTTTCAGTGGCCAATACTGTTCCTTTATTGAATGACAATTCTCTTTTAAATATCTTGCAACATTATATTTGTTTGGACTTAGGAGGGTGCAAACAGTTTTACTAATCCTCATTAGTGGACTAAAAATGCCTTTGCTAGCAATTGGTATCAGAGTCCATAAAATCTGCGGACAATTGGCCTTTCTTTTAGGAGGCCTGACACAGGCCGCAAGAGCTGCCTCAGCAGCCTTTGAGCTGTAGCTGAATTGCATCTACCATGGGCATAGTGGCAACACTCCGGTAATCCAAATTTAAGGGGCATGAGCCTCATGTTCCCTGTGTGCATGTCCATATCTTACTGGGAACCTGCGCCTTTTACCGTGTAGTACTGTTGGGTGGTTGACTCATCTTTACACAAGATACCAATTTAGGGATTAATACTTATGAAGCAAGATTTGAAAAAATGAAATCGTTCAATGATTGGAAATGTGAGTCGCAAGAATTGACTGTGCATTAATCAGAGCGGACACATGTCGTCGTTGAATTATATTACTGGGAAGCTGAGCCTTTACTACTATGTGGCACTGTTTGATGGTTGATTAATTTTTATGCTAATCAATGAGATGTTTGGATGACTGAATATGTGACTTGCCTGTGAACAATTATTAAGTGGCATTAACGAGAGCTGAGACGTGTTGGTTTGTTGAATTTAGCAGTTCATGTGGTTAGGCGCTTGATTACTGCTAATGACACAATATGTATGGGAATGGTTTCAGGTTGAACAATGTGGGCAGTTGCATTAACAGCGAAGCTGGCTATGGATCGACTGCGATGGCAAAATTGCTACTTTATCCTCCCTCTTTTTATATCTAGGTGACATTTATACGACAAAAATTTTGATCTGATTACTGTACGTCTTCGTTGTTTGTACATAGCAGTAACATTTATTCAAGTCTTGAATAAAATTTGAGCCTCTGCTTTTGGTCTTGCATCTCGGTTACTCTGCTTCTAAACCTTTAATCATATTAAAGAAATTTTAAGGATATAATTTTCCCTTCATGTTTATCTATTCCAATCCATAATCTTCTGATTCCCACCCTATTTTATTTTATATTTTTAAATTATTTAGAAAAATTCACGGTTTGGATTAAACCTTTATCCTTTATTTTTATGAGGATTATATTAACTTTCTATTTACACATTATAACAAGAAGGCACTTGAAACTTAATATATTTCATTTACTTCGTTCTTAAAAATTGTCGTTACAACGTTTGGATCCAGCCACTACTACTAGAATTATTATTTTTGGAAAAAGAAAAGCAAACTGGTTTTAAAAAGTAAACTACTTACGTAAATACTAATTAATTTGAAGTTAACTACTCAATGGAGACAAAAATTAAAATTAAATTTAAAAAAAAAAAGACTTTGTTAAACTTGCATATACTTTACATACACTAGCCAAAAAAAATTTAGGATTTCGGTAGGGGCAAGCGCGTGCCCCGTTGTTAAATCCCATTGTGCCATGAATTTAGGCCAAGTACCTAAACATGTTTGCATTATCCTTGTCTCTCTCCAGATAGTCTCGTGTGATGAGATCTTCCATCCGCTTCTTGATGGCTTTAATATCAGGCTGCGCAATCCCCAAACCACAACATATGTTATTAGTGCTCACACTTGGTGCCAACAATTCCAAAAACAAGATGCAGTAAAATGCTCTTAGTTATATCCTTTATGTCGTTGTTCTTGTTTTAAACTCATAACTCCCATCACCTCCCCTTACTTCTCTTCTTTCGCTTGCGCATTAAACAACCTATTTACTACTTCCTGATTCCCATGCTTACAGATGCAACATATTTAATCACACCTACGAAAGTCCAGTCTATGTTCTTAATCCTACTTGATAACCTCCCTTTTCATTTAAGCTAAAAAATGATCACCTCTCATCTTGTATTACATTACATGCATCAGTCCCTAAAGCAAACTTCCTTTACATATAAAAGATAACACTTTCTTTTTTTTTCACCTTTCTACCCAAAACTCATACTACCATCTTTTTGTCTTCTCTCTTTGCATTCTTTAAATAATTATTTTCATACAGTGTACGTTAAACTAGCATGTTTGTGTGTCGTTTATGTCAGTTAGGCAACCAGAAATCCCCATTCATACATCTAATGTTTCTCTCATCCACCACACATGAAGGGGAAGCATATAGATTAATACCTTAAACATGCGACTCAACTGCTCAACGCACTCTGAAACTAACTGCTGGTGGCCCAAAACTTTCCGACTCTTCATTATGCGCACAATTGCAGCATCAATAGCATAACGCCGGTCTTTATCAACATCTTCCACAACTTTCTTCCTTTCATCCACCGGAGGGAGAGGAATCTACATATGACAATTTACAAGTTTATTACCAAAGTTGAAATCTTCTCAAAACAATAAATATAAAAGAGAGAGTTACAAAAGTGCCCCACACCTTGATCCTCCTCAACTTGTCAGTAAACTTAGAGTTGAACTCAAAGTAGTCACTTTGGGAGATGGTTTTTGTGTTTGGCTCTTTACTTAGAATCTTATACTTGGCACATGACAGCGAATGTAGTAATCTGACCAAATCATCATGGGTCAAGTTCAACTGAGCCATGATCTCTGAATAGCTCAGCCGATCAGAAGCATTAAAGAGCAGAAGGACAGCAGCCTGTTTAAATTGGCAACTGGAAATTAGTTCCCAAAATCAAAATTGAACACAAGAATCCAGCAAGAGACAAGACATGAATCCAACCTAACCACAATTTTTTAATATAAAAAGTGCACAGTCTAAAGAGTCTGTTTACCTGATAAGTTGAGACAATGAGTTCAATAGTTTTCTGCTCAAACTTGCCATTAACGTGGCAAGTTCCCAGTGAGTATATCCATGTAAGCTTTCTGTGCTTTGTTTTTGTTTCATAAAATCCTTTGAAAACTTCTACACACTTGACCTGAAACAATGACATTATTAAATATAAATAAAATTTCTGAACACATGCCAGAAGAAGAAATTTAATAGTGTCATCATGCAATAACATTTGAAGTCATTACCATCTCAGCAGGGAGATTGAGATCAAATGATTTATAACTTGGCCAGAATCCTGTGGTAAGAACAGTAACTGTTAAATCAATCCCAGGATGTGCAGCTGAGTTACTTCTAAGGTAGTCCTCAAAGCTAGCCTGGTTTTCCCTTGCCAATGTCAAATCTGTGACCTGTTAGGAAGGTAGAAGACAAGTCACATCACACCGTAATCAATGCAGACAAATTAACTAGACAAAACCCAGGCCAACTCACCATGCCCTCCATCTTTGAAGTGAACTGTCCACCACATTGCTGCTTTAGCTTAGTCAGAATACTCCTTTCGTGATCGTCATTAGCACTTCGGTCAAAAAGCAGTCGCCGAGCAAGCTTCTTCCTGTCAATGATTGCACACAAAAAGTTAGGATCAAAATGTACCACAGAAAAGCCATTACAATTTAAATTTTTTAAAAAATAATCATAACAAAAAAAAGATAACAAGAAAACATTAAATTAATTGACACAAAAATAAAACCTTCACCTGTAGAATTCAGCAAAGAGGTCTTTATCACTAATATAGGCAAGCAGCTTAACGACCTGCAGAAACCAACAGATAGTTCAGAATCAATTTCAGATCACCATAAATTTAGCATCAAAAGGTTGATAAAGCTACCTTCTCAAGTGTTTCTTCAATGGCTTCATCACTTAATTTCTCACTTCCACCCTTCTTGAGGATATTATCACAGAAAGTTGCCAAAAGCTCTGCACTTGAGCTGCCAGCAACAGTTTTGTTGCAAAATACCTCAAAAGCCTCTTTCAAGGCCTATTAAACATTTTTTTTAAAAGAAGACATGTTTTAGTTGAAATGATTGAAAACAATCCATACTACAAGTTTAGGTATCCCGACACAAACCTTGTGGAACAGAGTATGGTTTTGAAAACAATCAGTCACATACGTCATATACTTGTCGTGCAGCTCAATTATTTTCCTGATAAGGACCTGATAATAACAACAATACATCAATTTTCAACATCTATACTCATTTCAAGAGAATCCATATAGCCGAATAAGTTGGGAAATTCACCTGTTCCTGCACACCAGCAGCATTTGAGGCCTGCAGAAATGAGTGACTATCAGCACTTAGAACCGGACACAGGTGAGATTAGAAACAAAATGAATTGTATAGATTATCATCTATTTTTTCCCTAAATGGCTGAAAATCTGAGCTCATACTAGTTGGGATTAATTCTTTTTCCCCTTTTCTTTTTCAGAACGAGAAATAACCAGGGCAAGTTTGCAACTGGCATGTCAAAGCCATATCAAACTTAACCGTTAAGAGAAGCGCACAACCACAATAACAAATGAAGATGAAAAACACCATGCCTGACTGATGCTTAAATACTACTCTTGCACCCATTAAATTAGTTCAAAAGAAAAAGATTTCATCCCCTCACAAGCACACAATTACTATCCAGCAAAAATCTGCATGAATTATCTTTATTACAGAAGGAAATCAATAACTGTATCCTGTATCCAACAATTACACTTTCTATCAGAAAAGGACAATAACAAAATTAACCTGGTTACTTGCAGCATCTTCTGCCTGTTGAACCAAGGCTGTACCCTCAGCAGTAATATGCTGCAAAAAGGAAGTACTCAGAAAGAGTCAGTAAAATCATAAAATAACATGAGAAAGATGGCCATTTAGCTAGCAGAATAGAGCAAATAGGAAAGTCAAACCTGCTTGAATATACTAGCAACAGGATCCAAGCCTCGAGGTATTTTACAATAAAGCCTGTACATCCTAGAAAGATCCTCCACCTACAGAGTGTAAAGAAAGCTAAATAACTATCTAATGTAAACATTGCCAAAGAAAATAGCCAGAAGAGTAAGCATTGCTAGCAAAGAACAAAGTTGAACAATACCTTGTCATCTCTAAGCAAGGCCCTGCATCCAGAATGCTCCTTATCAAGTAATTGATTAGCATGCATGACCAACAACTCATGTTGCACTTTCTAGATAAAGAAGAAACAAATATAAGTAGAATGCTCTAGGAGTTACAGAGCTGTCTTCATAGGATGACTATGCAAATGCTTACCACAAGCATAAATCATTTCATGTCTTCAAATATATTAAAATCAAGTAATCTCAATCACCTTGACGAAAATAGATAAAATAACCAGATCTTCCCATATAAAGAGAATTCACACAAGTTCTATTGTAATATCTTAGTGACAACTTTGACACATCACACACTATTCATTTAAGTCACCGTTCATAACATCAGTTTAATGAATTTTCTCTAAGAGGGAAAGAAAAGAAAGGTGCACCATCAAGCCAAACGTAAGCTCAGAGGGCAAGCTATTCATTTAACCTATAAATTTACAACCATTCAACTAACCTCTGACAATTTTGTCTCACTGCTTGAATGCAGGTAATGAGACACTCTGTCCCTTTCCTTCTTCAAGCACTCTTCAGACTGCAATTACCATTAAAATTAAAATAATATATTAGAACCATCCCGGTTAAAAAATTTAACCTATAAAAAAAATGCAGGAGCACTTAAGCACTTGCCTTTAACATGTAATCTGGACAAGAATCTTCCAGAATCCAGTTTGATGCCTTCCGTGAATAGTAAGCACCAGTATCCTGAAGCATGTGTGCTTCAAAATCTTCTTCATAACGATCCATTAGTCCCATGCCAATCTCAACAAAAATATCTAACACATTCTTCAATAATGCTCGGTCTATCTGCTCTCCCTCACGTTCTTTATCAATCTGGTAAGAAGTAACCATTACTCTTAGTTCTTTATTCAAAATGTGGCCTAAAAATACAATTAACCATAAAGCAATGACGTAAACTTACAAGGGTAATTACAGCATCTCGGACTTTCACATGCACATCGTTATATACCTAACATTAGTAAAACAGACAGTGAACAA